GGACGACTTATTTTAAAGTCGTCTGGGCAGACGACTTACGAGGGCTAGAAACGTAAAAAAAATTCGCGTTTTTTGTTTGTTCACAAGGAGTTGGTTGTAATTTCAATAGCCTTTTAAGTTACTTTTGCATTTGATTCAAGTTTGGGTTTACTTTTGCATTTCAAATCAAGTTTTGAGTCATATTTGGCAATTTTCCCAATTTTCATTTCTAACATTAAAAACGTAAGAAAATTGTAAAAGAGCGTTTAAGTAGTTTTCCTTTCTTTAAATCCTAACCAAAATGTTTTTCGAATAATTAATTCTAATATTTTATGAATAGTTCACTTTCCAATTAAAATAGTTGTTATTCTTTTTATAAATTATAAACCAAAAGGAGCTACAATTATTACATATACATATATGTTATTAAGTTCTCTCATATTTTGTCACTTCCCATATTTCGGTAGCAAATATAAGAAATACAAGAATAATATTAAATGAGTTTTTATGCATATTCATTCACATCTTCGCGTGATCTACTCTTATTGGGGTATCACATGTAGAGGAAGTATTATGTGACATCCTGATTTTCACATTAAAGTGATGTTGAATTTTTTTTTAAAACAAATATATTATTATCATGATGTCTTACATTAGTTACTGCCTTAAGCATTTGTACATGTTTTATGTAAGCTTAATGGATAATGTGACTATTATGCTTATGTGTGATTATGGTTATGTGTCTTTGTTCTTATCGGCATATAAAATTGGTTAGGCTATTGTAGATCATGATACTACATAATTAAAATAAAAGAGAATAACTTTGAAATTGAATGTTGTAGATCATGCTACTAACGAATTAAAATCAAAGAGAAAGACTTTGCAATGGACAATATTACTAATAATTTGACCTACACAACATGATTACTGAAGTAAAATTCTTAACCAGAAGTTATATGGAAAAAAACAGAATTTTATTCCTAACATAAGTCTCATACCAACATATGCAAGAGAGTCTTTCAAACTGAAATGACGTCGGTTTCTTATATGAGTTTTCTATACAATGACTATCAACAAGAGTTAAGGTTAACCCTTAAAACGTTGGTCTATATTTGCGAAATCCAGTCTTACAATTATACATCACACTATCAAAAGTCACTACAACTCCATAGTTTCAGATTTTTAAAATATAACGACAATAATCACACCATAAATGCTAAAGTAATCATATTTGATGTTTTATTTAGCAGTATATTATTTAGCCGGCTATCAATAATACATATTGATTGGTGTCATGTAGTATTAATACTTTCAATTCTGCTGTTTTTAGTTTGCTTTAAACAAGATAAATAATATTGATAGTTCACAGTTCTATATGTTTCAATTAACTACAACTATTATTATTTTGAAAAATGATTAAAAATATTAATATATTATTTAAAATACCATAATTATTGAAATAGAAATATCAATAAAAATTACATAAGAAACAAATTATTATTAATGAAATTAAGACAAATATATACTGATCAAAATCAATAACTAAGAGTATCTCCAACTCATTTTTCTTTTAATCTCTATAGTGACATTTGAAGGTAAAATTTCTCCAACACACCTCTATTTCTTTCTCTATATTAGAGATTTCTATTGTTCAAAAAAAAATATTTGTATTTTTTCCTATATTTATAAAGGAAAAAATAGCAATCCTCTATTTTTTTCTCTATATCTAGAGATTGCTATTATAGATGAATGTATTAGAACATATTTCATCTCTATTATAGAGTTCATTTATTTTAAAATAAAATTACAAAATGTATTAGAGATGGTCTAATGTAAAACTTTTTTTCATTTTTTATGTATAGACAAAAATTAAACATCAAATAAAGCTCGTGCAATGAACATATCCATATCTATTCAAGTTATAAAATATAAATTGTTGTTGATTCGGCCATATCTAGTCAAAATATAAAATATAAATTGTTGTTGATTCGGTATAACTTGCTTTGCAAGTATGTCTGCATATACGTCCGTATATTCTTTGTTTGTGAATGTGGGCTTAACCACATTCTGAGTATCTCATTCAAATACTCCAACAGTTCATCATGGCTATGACAAGAGCCTATGACAAGAGCTTGTAAGAGCACAATTATTGTCGTTGCTTCGGGGTGTTTAATGCCTGTGGTCCCACAAAAAGCTCAAGCGTCGAAGCTTCTACCTCAAATTCAAGCGCGAGTTTTTCAGTGCTTACACTATTTTTGCGGATTCCAGTGATACATAGCGACTCGCGATTAGTTACTTTTAAATTTTTCATTTTTTATTAATAAGAAGAAAAAAAGAAAAAAAAATTTAAGCACTTGGTTTCACGATAATTGTGCTAATTCACTCTCTATTGCGCTTTGTTGTTGTTGAGTTAATACTTGACCTACTTCGAGCAATCTTCCGTTACTCCAAAGGTTTTTTTTTTCTTTTTGCTAAAATAACAAAATATTTTTTTCGGTTTTCTTTCTTCGTTGTTTACTTTAATTCACTGGGAATTATCTTTATATTTCTTTTTTTTTTAAATATATTTCCTCTTTATATGATTTGTTTTATATTTTTCTTATATCTCTGTATATAAATACCCTATTGAGTCATGAATATGATAGTCTTAAGCCGCCGCGAATAGAGCGTAAGAGCCGAGACGCGAGACGTAGCCCCGCAGGTTAAGGAGATAAAAAGATCAGCCCAAGTCAATTATGATTTGGATTTTCTATTATTTTTCTTCCTTTTTTGGTTTGTATTTGTATTTCTTTTCCCTTATGGTTTTGTATGATTGTTTTCTTATATGTAGCCCTACGTATACATTAATGGGTGACACAGCGTGGAATCTGTAAAAGAAAAGCGTGGATTTTCCTTACAAATTAGCAATGGAAAGAAAAGTTTCTGAGGTCAGAATAGATATGGCTCTTCAGAAAGAGACTTGCAGTATTTGTATCAATGACAATATCCGTGCTATTCAGATGTTTTCTGTTGATATATGTGGTCATCGGTTTTGTTCCGAATGTGTGAAACGATATATAGAGACGAGACTACTCGAGGGAAATAGGTTGACATGTCCTCCTAATGGCTGCCATCTTGAGCTGCGTTATCTAAGTTGTGTCAACTTTTTGACTCGTGAACTAAAACAAATTTGGCAGCAGAGGATCATTGAGGACTTGATTCCTGTAACCGAGAGAGTTTACTGCCCGAACCCGAGGTGCTCAGCTTTAATGTCGGTAAAAGAACTCTCTATTATTAAATCTACTGAAGAATCTGGAGTTAGGAGATTATGTGTCAAATGCCGTGAACCATTTTGTTTCAACTGCAAAGCTCCGTGGCATAACAACATGTCGTGCGACAATTATAAGATTTTGCATCCAAATCTTATAGCAAATGATACAAAGCTAGAAGCTCTAGACAATAAGAAAATGTGGCGACAATGCACAAAGTGTTAAAACATGATTGAGCTTTCTCAAGGATGCGCAACTGTACAATGCAGGTAACATCTTTAATCTTATCTCTATAGAATTTTATTATGTTGTTTTCTTGAACACAAGATTTTAAATTCAAATGTATTAACATGAGTTACTTGATATGGCAGATGTGGACATACGTTTTGCTACCGATGTGGAGCCAATGCTGGAGATTTCCCCCATGGTCATAACTTTTATGATCTGAGGACTGGACGTCTATTGTATCGACCATGGTGTGCTGCCTTGTGGGCTTTCGTTTTGTTTGTGGTGATAGCTGCTGGTATTGTTGCCTCTTTTGTTTTTATTATTTTACATTTTGTCAGAAAGAAATAAAGAAACTAATAATCGATGTGGTAGATTGTAAGGGATTACTAATAGAAGTACAAGCACCTAATTATCCAATATGAGACAATCGTACATGATCTCTATTAGAAGAGAGGTACCAAATTTATCTACTATTTAGAAGTCATGTTGAATCATGTCATTATTTAGTTAATATGACATATTTGATTGTTACTTAACAAATTAAATATATATTATATTCAAAATATCTTAATAATTAATAAGGATATTAATAATAAATGAATTTAAATAGAATAAAATCTGTTAAAAATCCAACAAAATCTTACCAAAAACTTTAAATAGTTTTTATATAAAATAAGTATTTTTTATTTTGTTATTATATATAATTATAAATTAACTTTAATTAAAAATAAAATATAAATCATGTATTTAAAAATTTTAGTCATATATTTATAAAATAAAAATATATCCGCATGGATGTGCGTCAAACTCTAGTTAACACTTGAAAGAATAAGAACATACACAAACATAGTAAACTCGAATTCCTGAAGACAACGTTTGTTACTCTAGCAAAAGTCGAAACAAAAAAACTAAGGCTACTTTGGATTTTCATTAATCAGGCTACTTTGGATTTTCATTAATCAGATACCGGAAACAAGTAGCAATCAAATAAATCTATTTTTTTAAAAAAGAAAAAGAAAAGGGGAGGGGGCAACTCAGACATTGAGTGAATATGATTAGAAAAGTAAGAAAGATTTTCTAGAATGGTGTTAATCTCCCGACCAAATTTGCAGTAGCACTGCAGCAGAAAGGTAGCCCAAACTCCTCATTACTAGGCACTTCGTTTTCAGCGTTGAGATCAGTTGAGAAACCAACCGCAAAGGAGGATTTGATAGGCCATCATGATATCGAAGGTTCCCACACTCGCCAGATATCATTGATGAATCTTAAAATTCACTTAGAAATAGAGTTTTTGAATTGAGGAACTTGATTGACAAGAAAGCTTATTAGAAAGAATCGGTACTAGATAACTATGGAAAATTAATGTTTATTGATGATATTGAAGATGAGTACGAAAGTGTTTTATAAACAATATGAATCGTACGAAATCAGAGTATAGTTTAGCTATGGAGAATTTGGATCCCTTGATGTTGGCTCATCTTCCCTCTTTTATAGCTCCACTTGGTGAATTGTAACGGACGTGTCTTTATCCGCATGAATCCCTTTTTTTTATGGTGATCCTTGAATACCTTTGTCTTCCTCGTATTTTGGTATGACTCTTCTGACCTTAGGGAATTTGAGGTGGGCTTAAAATATTGATGGGTTCTTATTTCCCTAATGAGCCTTTAAATCTAGTTGGTATTGGGATTCTCTTGTTTTGGGCTATTATCTCGGACTGGATCTGGAGAGGTAAAATACAGCTCCAACAATATCCCTTCCTCTGAGTCCAACGGGTTTTGATTAGTTGTGCAGGTCGGGTATGTAATCCGACTTGTACGGTGTTTGGTGCAACCATCGGTCTCCTATCTGTCAAAACCATGTTCGAAACTCTGGTTTTGGTGTATTAATTACGGACCTGATTGAGAGATTCTGATTGGAACGAATCAAAGGATTCGACTTTCCCTCCTTGGAAACTGAATCTTTTTTTGAGATGGAAGAATTTCTTTTGTGACTCGGTCTTTGGAGTATAAGTTATTGTGGCTTCTTCTTGTCATTTACTATCGTAAGTTTTAGAGAAAACAAAAGGTTGGATTCTTCTTTATCTTTCTCTCTTTTCCAATTATAGCCTTTATTTTTTTTTCCCGGAGCTTCTGCGGTGCGCTGGTTTAAGTGTTACGCCTTATCTTGTTTTAGTTAGAGTTTCAGCTTTTGGAGGATTATTCTTAGCCGTTTTTTTCCTAGATTTTTCAGCCTAATCTTGTTGCTTCATGTATCCACATATGTGTTCATGGTGAGTTGGTCCAGTTTTTGGAATTTCTTGCCTTTGGTTTCCTAGTCATGATTTTGATATCTTTTTATTTAGCTGAAAATGGTGAAGCCTATTGTTTTTATTCCTGACATGGGTCAGATGGCCACCGAATCTTCTCAGAAGAGGAAGGCGAGAGAGGTGAGGAAGAAGGCTACTACTGATGAAGCAGCTCGGAAAGAAGCTTCCGAGGTCATTTTCGACCCTCTCGTCTCTTCTGGTCCTTCTAGAGAGGCTGCACCTTTGAGTGCTTCCGAGGTGATTCTAATGCCTCTGGTTGTTGGTAGTGGCTCCAAATATGGCGTGTTTCCATGTGAGAACGCTGGTGTTGGTGGCACTAGAGCCACAATCACAACACTTGGGTCTTCTGGATCGACCGCAGTCCCTCGTTTGATGATGTGGTTAAAAATCCAATGGCGCCTTTATCTTCATCAATGCGTCCTCCATCGTCTTCTGTCAGAGTTCCCTCCATGAATTCATTCGTAGGAGGCTGATTTGGAGGTTTTCCATCGTCCCTCCGATAGTAGAGATCGGAGAGTCGATGCTTCTCATAGACCATCGAGAGATTAGCCGCGACCGTCGAGTGCCCCTTCGTCGTTTCATAGAGGTCAAAGGAGAGGTCTGGAGATCGATCTCAGGAAGCGTTCTTCTTCGGGATTAAGAGATCATGGTTTAATAGTTTTGAAGTAATTTTGAGTTGATAGTGGGGAGAATCCTCTACCTGGATCGTTGTCTTCTTCTCGGAAGGGTGTGTATGGTTTTTCCTTTGAGTTTCTGGAGGCATGTGTAATGCCCCCATCGTCCACGGCCAATGGGCCACCCATGCCTGATCTCTCGGTCCGTGGGTCTCATCCTGCTCCAATGGTTGGTGCATTAATTTTTTTCAAATGCTCGAAATCAATGTTTACTGACCCTGAAATCACCACCCGATCTTTCCCCATGCTGTGGCCTCACTCGCATGGTATCGCGAATCACTTCACTATTCGTCACCCATCCTTTCACTATTCCAGTCCATGCACGCTTAACCCTGGAGTTCTAAACGCATGTGTAACGGAAGAGGCAAGTGAACTTTTGGTGACATAGGTAGCCGAATCAATTCTCTTAAGCCTTTCTATATATCACAATTAGGGATGTTACAATTGACCCCCTCTCAAAGAACGTAACGTCCTCGCTGAGCCTCACGACAGGTCTCAAAGCGCCTCTCGTGGCAGAACCGAGATGGCTAACCAGCTTTGATATCACTTATGATGCCCCGCCCGCCAATGGCTAATGGGTTACCCACGCCCGCTCACTCGACCCATCAGCCCCATACGTTTATTCCGCGAGGTATGTATTAAAGGGGATCTTAACTTCCCAAAAGAGATGTTTACTAACAACGACTCTTACAAGAGGCTTTGTGATTCTTATGCATGGATGAACTAATCTTAAGCCTTTTGATTTTAAAGTCATGATCTTGTTTTGTTGGTTTTTTTTTGCGAGTCTAATTATAGTTTCACTATAGCATTTGGGCTTGGTGGAAACCATATTGAATATGGGATGCATGTACGATTACGGCTGACACAAAGAAAGGGGCTCTCTTCTGTAAGGATGCGGTTGTGGCGGAGCGTTCAAGAACCAAGAATCGTCGACTGAGAATGTTGCCTTGGAGGAAAAGATGGGTCAGTTAGAGGCAAGCTTGAAGGTCAAAGACGAAAAGATGTCCAAGAGCTTGAGATTTCCAAAACTGGACTGAGCTCATGTATTGACGGTGCAAACAAAGCAGGTCGAGCTTGTCAGGACGCCGATGGAGTGTCGTGAAGCCGAGCTAGTGAAAGATTTGAATAGTCTCCAGGAAGAGAATGCAAAGCTTGGGAATCAGCTTTAGTCGGTACGCAATGCTCATGGGGACGAGCTTCAAAGTTTAAGCGCTTTGAAAGGCTAAGGAAGCTCGTAAGTCTGTGAAGAGTGCTCGCCGGGCTATGTTGGCGAAGTGAAAACCCTGATTTGATAAGGATAAGAGGGTTGTTGCTGATGATAAGATCGTGCAAGAGCATGCCTTGATGATGTCTTTTTCTGCCAGCCATTCAAGCCTTCTTGACAACCTAGAAAATGAGGATACAAAGGCTTAGAGACTGACAAGGCCAATATGGAGCAGAACTTCAAGGATTTGAAGAGGAATTCGGTGAAATAGACATAATTGAATCAATCTGATATTACATGTATACGCACGCCAATTAGCCGAAATGTGCACACTACCATAATTGAAGGGTATGTCGATGTAACACTTTAGGCTCGAAGCCACATAGTCCAACTATTACACTTTATTTTTATGGGATCAATATTAAGCTAAAAAAGTATGAGGGTTTTAAAATAATAAATCGTAACAAGCAAGTAACAGAGTTAATTTGGTTTCAGATTATAAAAGAGAATGCTAGCCTAGGGTGATTTGATCGGATGTTAAACACTTGTGAGCCAAACGATTATTCAGGTTCTATGAAGTCCTAGTCTAGAACTCGGATCACTCAAGGGGTTCTTCTCTAAATCGAGAGAGATAACCTTCTCCCTTTACAAAGTAGTAAAATTATAATAATCCAAAACCTCTAGAGTTATTTATCTGTAAAAACGTAGCATAGAATAATAATAGAATAGAGGAAAAGAAGATATGTGGAGTCTACTGAAGGTACGAAAAGAAAATTGGGATGACTAGGGAAAATCTTGAAATATTAGAAGTTTC